AGAGCAGAACAGACTAGTACCCAGATGTCCTGGGTTCTCCACTCAGAGATTTCAGGTTCCAAGATTGTTCTTAGAGTGGTCCGGCATTCAGGATCTTGCTTGTGGTACCCAAGGTGTGGACAATGACTAACTAGTTTTCTAGTTCTGGGGAAGTCAGGTAAACATTGTAATAAAGGGCACCAGCTGTGGAGGCCAACAGACTCATTTTACAGACTAGAAGCCAAGGCACAGTGAGACTAAGGTGAGGTGCTTACAGAAAATCACCCAGGTTAGGTTTGGGATATACCCCAGGCAGAAGTCACAGGACATCACCAACCCAAGGTGGTCAGATCTGGGATGAGAATGCTTTTAGCATAAACTAGTCTTATGGGGGAATAGTCCAGGCACTGATGACCTCTGCCTATTACCTCCGCAACTAAACTGAGGCTGCAGAGCACACCAGGCAGTTCAGGTAGCCACCTTTCAGGTACCTGGAATCAATGAGTGACAGCAAGGTGCTGTGTAGACCCATCCACTAGGATGACACCGTCAAGTGGGAGGCAGCACAGGGGAGAGGACTGCGGGTTGGGAGGTGAGGATGAAGCTGACTGTGTGTGACTTTGGGCAAGTCCTTTCCCTCTTTGAGGCTTCACATCCCCAGTGGTAAGCAGAGGGACTGGACAAAAGGGCCAGACGATGGGCCACAAAAGCTCCAGCCTTGTCCCTGCCTTCAGTGCAGTGGGAGAGGAGACTGACAGATAAAAAGACTTAAGGTCCTAAATGACAAGGGTGCTGATAAAAGTCTGTGCCAGGGACTGAAGGAGCGCAGAGGCAGGTCAAAATAACGTTATCTGGGGAGGGCGCCAGGATGAGATTGCTGTGAAAGAGCACAACATGCCTGGGCGGAACCACCCCAACCTGGGCCTGGCCCGGAGGCAGCTCAAGAAATGTTCTGCTGAGATCGTGTTCATCCCTGTCCTCAGAGGGTTCCCAGTCTTGCCGACAGGAGGTGTTTCCTACTCTGAATTTCTGTTATTTATTGTGGGAGGTTGGGGTGGGGAGATGATCAGAGAGACTAGGGCTCAGGGCACCCTGATTTCTCTGAGTTGTCAGACATACCCAGAATTTCTCTTCCATCTCTGAGTAAAACCTTTCAAGTCTATCTTTGCCTTCAGGATAAAGTACAAATTCTTTAGTATATCAAGGCCAGCAGGATCTGGTTTTTCTTCAGATTAGACTAGGATTTCTCAACTTTGCCACTATTGACATTTTGGGTTGGATAATTCTTTGTCGGCTGGGACTGGGGTAAGGGGTGTCCTATGCCTTGCAGAATGTGTGGGAGCATTTCCCTGGCTTCTGCATACTAGATGTCAGTAGCTCACACAGCTCTCCCCAGTCATGACAACCAAAAACGTCTCCAGACACTGCCAAATGTCCTCTGGGGTCAAAATCACCCCTGCTCTGGACTAGAGGAGGATTAGCCACTCTGCACCTCTTTCATTTCCAGGACTGTGGCTTACCACCTCTTTCCCAATAATAGCCCTTCAATTTCTCCCTTCTGCCTGGCTGATCCTTACTACGGGAGATCTCAGAGATCCTTTCCCCAGAAGCCCTCTTTGACCCCCCTCAGACTGCGTCAGGTGCCGCCTCTGGGCTCCCACAGCCTGCCTGGCTCCCCTGACCCTCGCTCACCTGGGGTTATCACCATCTGGGGACCGAGAACCCCAGGAAGGCAGAGTCTTCATCAACACTAGGTCCCCAGAGTTACCCAGCACAGGGCTGGGTGCAAAGCAAGAATTCAATGTCTGTGGGATGAGTGGATTTTGAAACAGAGGCTGGGCTGAGGTGGAATCCCCTGATGCTGACTGTGGGAGGATCCTGGCAGTCAGTGAGGACATGCTGGAACGTCTGGCTGGCTCTTGTCCCCTGTCTGGCCCTCGGGGTCTCAGCTACTCAGCTGCTTCTCAGCCCTCATGGGCCCCTTAGCAGAGATTCATGGGCATTTTATGAGATTGGACACGCAGGTCCAAAAGCAAAAACAATTTCTGAGTCACTGCTCTGTCTGGGGCCACCCCCCCTTCCCCATCCATGGGGTCCAGCACATGAGCAGGCAGACCCTCGGCCCAGTCTCGTGCCCCAGCCAGCCAGCTCCTCCTGTAGCCAGGGGCTCAGACACAGGGCCCAGAGTTCTGCCATTCGTTACTTTAGCTAATGTGTCCCTGCTATGTGCTAGGCTCTGTGCCACTGCTGAGGATATACAGCTTTGAAAAACAGGCCTTGCCCTCTTGGAGCTCTGTCCTAGCTGAAGGAAGAGGTGAGGCAGAGGGAGAGGATGGACAGGGACACAGAGTGAACAGCGTAAAAGAAAAACATACAGCAGGTCAGAGGGCAACGTGGATAAATACATTTGGGGAGGGGGAGAGGAAGTGGGGGAACGGGGAAGAGGGTTGTCGTTTAAATAGGGTGGTCTGAGGGGGTGACGTCTGAACAAAGACCTGAAGGATGTGAGAGAGGGAGTTACGTTAATACATGGGGGAAGAGTGCTCAGCATGAAGGGAACAGCCAGTGCAAGGGCTCTGAGGTGGGAGGTGTGTGGGATGATGCAGGGACTGTGAGGAGGAGGCCAGTGTGGGAGGGATGGGTGAGCGAGGGAAGAGGAGGGAGTGAATAGAGGCAGTGAGGGGCCAGATCATGCCAGACCTCGGGGGCCACAGTGAAGACTCTGCCTTTACAGTGAGGGGAGGGGAGCCACAGGAGAACTGCCTTTTGATGATTAGATACCATATTCTTAGTATACAGGGTTCTATGGCTTTCAGTACATTTCCGCAGTTGTGCAGTGCCACCGTCATCACAGTCCTATCTGAGCACACTTCCATCCGCTCAGGAAATTGCTCTCCTCCCTTTTACAGTAACTCTTGCTCCCAACCCCTGCACCAAGCAACTACTAAGGTGCTTTCTGTCTCCATAGTTTTGCCTTTTCTGAAGGTTTCTTGTAAATAGATTCAGATGACAGCAACGAATTCGTATCTTATTTAACATGTCTTTTTCAGTACTTTGTCTCTGGTAGTGAAGCTCAAAAATAAGCAAAGACATAACTCAAAATCACATTAGAATTGTCTTCTAAGGCATGAAGAGGCCAAATGAGTCACTGCATCATGAAACAAGTCAATCACAGTAAGGAAAGAAAAACAGAGGAAATATTGAGACTTCAGAATCCCATTCTGCACTGCCTCTTAACGGTTTAAACTTTTCACCCTACTGAAGCTCTCTCCAATGAAAACAGCCTTAGGTAGGAAACCCCAAAGTTTGTAGACTCACTTTGGAAAAGAACGCCTTGTATGTTTGTATTTGATAACATTGTTATAGTTACTAAAGTATCAGCTCATGTTTCTGGAATTTTGTAGGATTCCCCACGGTGGAGGAAAGGTTATTTGTGGGCACAAGGTTCTTAGTTCAATAATTCCTTAGTGTTGGGCTGCTATTTAATAACATAAATCAGTGAATTTCCTGGATATTTAAGCTAGTCTAAATTAGTTTTAAATATGATTAAATGTGAATGAATTAAACTGTGCAGCCACTTTTCTACGGTAAGTTGTGTTACAAAACTGATTTCTCAATCCTCATCCTTCCGCTTATATTTTTTGGAACATCATACAGTTTTATGAGATGTTTCAAAACAAAAGTCAGATTCCGGTATAGAGGGTCTATTTTGAAACATTCATAGAATGGTCAAGATATATTAATCTCACAGCAAGAGGGAGACAACACACTGATCAAATTGTCAAGTCCAAACAGAATAAGATCTATAAGAGTTCTGTAAAAACAGCATAGGAATAAATATTAGTCATATTTAAATAAAATATTAATGAACCATGCTGCCCATTAAATTTCAGAATATTGGAGTAATGAAATTTGTTTATGCAGAATTATCTGCTACTGATTTTGACACTTGGCTCAGTAAGTACAAACCCAAGAGAGAATCGGGGTAGAAGACAGTTTGTTATTAGGTTGTATGAATATTCATATTTAAATAAAATGAGATGATGAAGACCAGATCAAGAACAGATTTATGCGTATGTTGCATGTTTCATTCACATTAGTCCTAGTGTTTTGTGGTTCTGATAGAATTAATTATTTTTAAATTGCAGTATAATTGACTTACAATTATTATATTAGTTTCAGGTGTACAACACAGTGATTCTATATTTTTATATACTATGAAATGATCACGATAAGTCTAGCTATCATTTGTCATAACACAAGGTTATTAAGATATTATTGACTATATTCCCTGCACTGTACATTAGATCCCTGTGACTTATTTATTTTATGAATGAAATTTTTACCTCCTAAATCCCTTCACCTATTTCAGCCACCTCCCTACCCTTCTCTGCTCTGGCAACCACCAGTTTGTTCTCTGTATCCAAGAGTCTGTTTTTGTTTTGTTTGCTCATTCATTTTGTTTTTTCAGATTCTACATATAGGTGAAATCATACAGTATTTGTCTTTCTCTGTCTGACTTATTTCACTTAGCCTAATATCTCCAGGTCCATCCATGTGTTGTAAAAGGCAAGATTTCATTTTCAATGGCTGTATAATATTCCTTTGCATATATATACACACACCACATCTTCTTTATCCACTCCTCTATTGATGGACATTTAGGTAGAATTAAGTATTTTACCTTAAGATACTAAAGACCAGCTTGGTGACTTATTCCTAACAGAGAGAGGTGTACATATTACCCTTCCAACAGGTGATTTTGGACATGATGTCAGATCTAGGAAGCACACAAAGTAAAATTGAGACCACTGTGGGATGTTCATTATACAGAATGAAGAGTGATGCCAAGTATTTGAGCATCCTCTTAATAACTATATAAATCTTACGAAAAACGGATGTATATTGTTTTTTTAAAATCATCTTTCTTTTTTGCACCCGCAAAGACAGAGGGTACGCTATCAAGAACCATCAAGACTTACACAAGACATATAAACCAGAAAGTAAGTCTATTTGTTTACCTCGAAGAGATGAATTTCCGTTATCCCAGAGCTCCCCCTTTCCAGTAGCAGTGTCTATTTCCCACAAGAGGCAGGATCGTGTGTTAGCTGAGATCAAGGAATTTGGCATCAGATCAGTCTGCACTCAAATCCAACTCTGCAACTTGCCAGCTGAATTTACAGCAGCCTGTTGTACAAGTTATTTCATTAGTATGACTCAGTTTCTTCATCATTAAAATGGATAAATTCAGAGTTGTTGGAAGAACAAATTAACTTGTTTGAAGAGCATAGAATAGTGGCTGGCTTATCATAAATTGTCAGTAAGTCATCATCCAAATACCTGTAAAAGTTAATAATCATAATTCTAGCAAGACTAAAGTTACAGCAAATGGACCTGAGGAATACTGTCCCCAGGTTAGGATAAAGTACAGAGAATCATCCTTTATCCTTTTTAACTAGAGAAAACATGTTCTCCTAAGTGATTGGAACCTTTGTAACCACCAGAAATATTTGGCCTCCTGCTACCTTTCTTTAGTACCATATAAAAACGAACAGATTTTACTCTTTAATCTCCATTTTTAAAATAATATATAAAACCTACTACAATAAAATTAAGGTTGTATTTTTTGTACAATTTATATTACACTTTTATCTTCCTAATGATACACTATTTCACTCCGATTGAATTTGGAAAATGTATGCTCAGCACATTGGCAAATCATCCATGTAGCAGGCCAAGCTCTTTGATTTTCATTTTTACTCTCAGTTTCTTTAATATCAGAGGGTGACATTTTCCTGACTTTGTTTTAGCTCCTGCATGATCCAGCACAGCTCCATTTAACTGTGTTTTAGGTGGAGCATCCCTAAATAACAAATGTCTAATTTCCCACGACACCATTAAATTATTTGACAGAGACTGGCTAAACTTTTTTTATCTCCAACTAGACTTATTTTTTAGACATCTTTGAAGTTTCAGGTGGCCATACGACTTCGTTTGGTAGTGAAATGTGGGCAGAAATGCTGCAAGGCATCCTCTCCCAGCATTTAGCAGAATGCCAATAACCAGGGAGACTTGAGATGCCACCCACTGAAGAAAGCAGAGCACAGTAGACTTGGGATGGGGACGACTGTGTAGAACAGAACCCCTGCTCCTGCCACAGATCAGCCTCAACATGAGCAAGAAATGAATGGAAGGCTCTGAGATTTCAGGGTTTATCTTTTGTAGCTCTGACATCCTTCAATCATATAGAAATGGTTATTAGACATGAAGTACTGCCATAAGGAAAGTTCAACTATGTGACATGGGTTAGAGGTTAGGCATCTAAATGTTTGCTAATGCCGTAGTCTTTGGTAAGTTCTAAGGCAGACCTGTAGCTATGGTGGAGGAGGTTGGATAATAAATAGAACGTTAAAATGTGTTGATCATTAATGGCCACGTGTAGCTTGTTATTAAAGAAACATAAACTTGGGCAAGAAGTGGCTCTTCAGCAAGTCAGGCATAAGGAGGGATAGAGTACCATTATACGGGCTTTCAACATGTTGGAAAATTGGGTGTTTCTAGAAGACAAGCAGTGGAAAATTTTGCTACAAGGATATAGTAAGACTCAGTCTTGCTTAAAAACAAAAAGCAAAAAAAAGAAAATCTAAGGGTTTGGACTTCCCCCCAGGCTTGATACCCTCTGGATGGCTGCCATTAAGCTGAAAGAGGTATGGGGCCGGAAACAAAGAAATTGAGTTTGCCAGTTCTGACTAAGAATGCTACTGGCACAGGGTTCTGACTGGAACAAATAGGTTTGAAGCCTACACTCTTAAGGGACTTGCATAGCTAAGAACCACAAGCCCAGTCCACATAAGCCTCTAACTGCTCAATGCTTAGAACAATCAAGTATCCAAAGTTACACCACCATGAAGTGAACTGTCAATGCTGTGGGGAGGACATTATTTCCAACACCCCTTTCAGAGGTGGCCAGGGAGGAGAATGAACAAGAAATAACTTCCAAAAGGCAAAGCCAAGGAACAATGGAGTCTTTGCTCCAAATGAGTAAAATCAACTTCTAATCAAGGAATTTTCCTACTTCAGGGAAGGGGACATTTATAATGTGTGCACAGCAGGATTTCATAATTTTTATTGACTGTCTTATACTGTGTATGTAGTATGATCTCATTATGGATTTCATTTGAAATTGACTGATGATCATCTTTTCAATTTGATGACTATTTATATATCTTTTTTGGCGAGGTGTCTCTTTAGTCTTTTGCTAATTTCTTAATTGGGATGTTTTATTTTTCAGTTGCAAATGTTTTTATAAATTTGACATACATGTTCTTTGTTAAATGCATTATTTTCTTCCCAATCTGTGGCTATTCTTTTTATTTTTAATAGTATCTTTTGAAGAAATTCCAATTTATCTTTTTTTATGATTTTCTCCTGCTGACCTAAGAAGTCTGCTTCAGGGTCACTCAGAGTTTTTTTTTTAAGTTCCATAGTTACATCTTTTACATTTAAGACTAGAATTTATTCTGAGTTAATTTTTATGTAAGGGAATAAGGTAAATGTTGATTTTTTTTTTGTCCATACAGATACCCAGGTAATCCAGCACGACTTGTTAAAAAGGTCTTTATTTCCAATTTAATATATGCTGCGTTTTTGCCAAATGAGAAATGATTTGTACATGTAGATGCACACCTAGAATCTATTCTGCTCCATTGATTTAGATCTGTCCTTTGATTCAGACCACATTGTCTTGATTATAGTTTTACTATAATCCTTGAAACAAAGTGGTGTTATTCTTCCAAATTTATTCTTCTTACAAACTGCTTTGGCTACACTAAGTTGTTTGTATTTTCATATTTATTTTAGAATTAACTTGTCAATTTCTATTTTTAAAAGCCTGCTGAAATTTTATTGGGATGGCATTAAATCTCTAGATCATTTAGGTAGAATTGACATCTTAACAGTATTGAGTTGGGGAGGGTATAGCTCATTGGTAGAGTATGTGCTTAGCATGCACGAGGTCCAGGGTTCAATCACCAGTACCGCCATTATAAACAGGTAAATAAATAAACCTAATTACCCTCCCCACAAAAAACAAAAAACAGTATTGAGTCTTCTAATTCATAAACGTGGTAAATCTCCCCATTTATTTATGTAAATCTCCTTAAATTTAATTCACCAAGGATTTGTAGTTTTCAGTATACAGGTCTTGCACATACTTTGTTAAATTTATCCCTAAGCAGTTTCTGTTTTCACATGCAATTGTAAATTAAACTGTTTGTTACTGGTATATAGAAATACTACTGGTTTTTGTAAAAATTTTTGAATCTTGTGTCCATGCTAAATTAATTTAGTTTTAGCAGGTTTTTTTCTTAAATTCCTTAAGATTTTCTATATACACCATCATGTCATCTTTCTTTCCAATCTGGAAGCTTTTTATTTCTCTTTCTTACTTTATTGCACAAGATGAGGCCTCCAGTATAATGCTGAATAGAAGTGGTGACTTGGCTTATTTCCAGTTTTAGAGGAAAAGAACTCAGTCTTTCACATTAAGTATGTTGCTGGCTGTAGATTTTTCCTAGGTGCTGTATATCAAGTTGACAACTTTCCTTTCTGTTTCTCTTTTCTGGAAAGTTTTTTTAATCATTAATGAATAATGACTTTTATCAGACATCTCTTATACATCTCCTGAGATGATCATGTAATTTTTAGAAATTTGTTAATCTAGCAAATTATATTTATTGATTTTCAAGTGTTGAATCGAACTTGCATCTACATGATTACAATAGAATATTGTTTTTACACATTTCTTGAATTTGACTTGGTTGTATGTTGTTAAGGCTGTTTACATCTAAGATGATGAGGATTATTGGTCTATAGTTTCCTTTTCTTACAGTGACATTGTCTGGTTTTGGTATCACAGTAACACTGCCTTCATTACCTAAGTTGGGAAGTACTCCCTCTTCTTCCAGTTACTGAAAAAATTTATTTAGCATTGATATCATTGCCTCCAAAAATGTTTGGTAGTATTAACCAGTGAAGCCATTCATGCATGGAATTTTCACTGTGGGAGGGTTTATGATAAAAAAATTTAATCTCTTTAATAGATATACACTAGTCCAGACTGCCCATATATTTGGGATTTTTCTGGATGATTTACTGCTGTTATCTTCCCATTTAATACCATTGTGGTAAAAAAAAAATACTCTGTAAGATTTCAGTCTTTTGCAATCTGTTGAGACTAGTTTTATGGCCCATAAGATGGAATGTCTTGATAAAATTTCCATGTATACTAGAAATGAACTTATTTTATGGTAAATCCAGAGCTCCAAACCAAGACTCCTAAATCTAAAGACTGTGCTTGTTCCACTAAATCTCATTTCCGTCTGTGATCCTAGGATGTTGGTCTTATTCTGAAACTATTTATCGTACTCACCTTTACTTGCTCAATTGGCTTACTGACATTTCATTTTTATTTCTCATCTTAGTGACATTGAACAAGGGGCAGTGTGTGTGTGCGCGTGCACACACGCACACTTCTTTTTCACAAAGGAAGAATCTGTATAAACATGATGCTTTGTATCAGAATTAAGTATCAGGTAAGCAGATTGAAACCCCTGGGGTACATACTTCCCCCTTATCCATCCTATTCAGTTCCCTGGGTGCCTGACTCATGAAATGCATCAGTAGGATTCCCTGCCTTTCCACTTCCAGATGGTTTAGTCAATAGGAGACACCAGCAGGAAATCTGGAGGACAGGAAGGGAGTAAAGTTGGGATATTTATTTGCCAAGCCACCTTCAGGTTAACTAACCGAATAGGGACTTTAAAAGAACAAGGCTGGAAGTTTGTGATAGGAAGGTCAGAAAATGAGGTTGCAGAATGGGCAGCTCAGGTAAGCACAAGAATAGGAAAATATTTGTGTCCAATGTACATGCTTATCAGAAGGATGGTCCTGACCATGACGTCGGTAAGCCTCTTTCAACAACAAAACTCATTCAAAGTGCTCAGGTACAAAGTGGCCATGGGGCAGGGATGGAAACTATGCGTAGGGTCCACAACATGGACTTCCACTCACAAAGGCCAGTCTGGCTAACCATTGCTGGGTGCCCAGCTTGCCAGCATCAGAGGCCACCATTTAACAGAGTGATCATCTGGCTACACAATGACAAATTGCTTTTATTGAACCCCAAC